GGTTTAGGGTTTAGGGGGGGGGAGGTTTTTCTGATTTATGGTATGCGGTTTTTCAGGGGCATTCATTCACTGCCGAACTTGCGTTCTTCTGAGACAGCCTTTGCGAGCGCAAGCCTTCATGAATCTATTGCAGCATCCAGAATAGCTTTGTGGGTCTTTACGGCCCCGGGTATTAATATCACTGCACTTTGCTGCATTCTCCCTGCTGCAGGCTCGTGTGTTTCCTGTATGTGCTCTGCCAAGCTTTGTCCGGAGACGAGCCCTTAATATTTCTAAAAAGCCTTAGACCTAAACCGCTTCTATGCATGAGCCCTGGCATAGTCCTGCTATAGCCCACAGTTGGATCCATACTGCATCGATACCGCATATGTTCATCCTTTCCTCGATTCACACAAAACACCGTACAGACAGATATGTGTGTATGTATATACATACACGGTGGTAGGTGTGTGTATATATATATATATGTACACACTTACACGCATAATTGCGTCTGTCTTCACAGTTGTGCCCTTAGTCGCTCGTGCGCAGGTTTCATAAGTCATCCCCAAACCGTTGCCGTCTGGGCCGCTGTTAGTGGGGCGTTTGGGTGCTTGCATCGCTGAGATCCCTTGCTTCAGTCCAGGACTGCAGCAATATAGGGGCCTTAATGGTTTGAATAGGGTTGTGGGGCCCATAATAAACTTATAATACGGAACCCCAAACCCTGTTCTAATTATTCAGGCCCCTACATTAGAAATTATGAGCGTCGCCTGTTATCCGCTGGAAAATAGACTCCTGCGCATCGTCATGTTGCAATATGTTCAGCTACAGCATGCAGTATACCGTAGTGCATGTTGAAAGTGTGGTGATATTCCTCCTTTGTTCCTGCATAGTTGGGCTTGCGGAAGGTTGCGAAGGGACAGGCCAGACGCATGTAAAAGCAAAGTACGGTGAAGACCAAGCACCTAAAGCCTAAACCCTGAATCCTAAACTAAGCAGCTAAAGCCTAAACCCTAAACTAAGCACCTAAAGCCCCACACTCTACAGACCCTGAAACATGTTTCCTTTGCTGCTTAGGTGACTGGGTTTCTCGTTCTAGGATCCTAAATCGAAAAAGGCTCCCCACGCTTATAAACCCGAAACATCCCGAAATCCTAAAGCGTACTAGGAACTGGTAGGAAAGACCCTACTATAGTACGCTTTAGGGCATGCCCTGAGTCCTAATCCTAGGTCTGTCTTGGTGGGAGCGATGCACGAAGGACATGTTGTCGTGCGCACGCGGGAAAGGGGGGGGAGGGGTACACTCTAATACGGCAAGGCCTGTACCCTCAAACAACAAAAACCTGGACCCTAAGCCCTAAACTTCGAAACCGTATCGGCTTTCTTGACGCTGAGATCCGGTGCTCTGATGTAGGGCTCGGGTTTGAGAATTCGGAGTTGACACTCCGTGTTTCCATTGTGAAGAACCAGTTTGATAGGTCGTGTCTTCATTGTATCGTTTGTTCGTGTGGGCATATCAGGCTTGGAGGTGGTTGTTTAGGGTTTAGGGTACACGCAACAGCCAGCAAGCACATTTGTTGTGCTGGTTTTGACATCACAATGCCATGCACTGCGGCTGTCTTAGAGTCTTCCTGGTGCTACTACATGTAATACTACTTTACTGGTGCGGCCGCCGCTTGAACAGGAAGGTTAGATAGGGAAGAAGTTGGTACTTACATATAGACATTGCAGTATTTAGCAGGCATTGGTAACGGTATAGCAAGGATAACACCTCTGGCACATAGAAGCCTCAGACGAATAACAAGTGCAAGCACTACCAATCAGGACAGCAGTGACAAACACAACGTCTTGAACAATGCCTCACCATCGTCATCAAGACATGCAAAGCTTGCAGTAGTCATGACGTCCTCTTCGGCGCACTACTCAACATTGAGCTGAATCACCAGCTGACCCTCCACTGAAACCCTCAACCGTAATAACAACACCTCGAATCTCTAAATGCCAATCCCGAAACCCTAAAACCTAAACCCTGAACCTCGAATCTCTAAACCCCAAACCCCCGAAGCCCCAAACCCCAAGCCTTAAGACCCCGATCCCATGATCCTATAGACCCTTTCTTCCGACCGTCAACCCTACACCTTTTAAATCCTGAACTCTACACCTTTTCCTACCCTAACTTACCAAAGCTTAAAAATCCGTCTGAGAAGTTCAGAAGCGCCCGGAATGTCTGAATACCGGTTACCTAGAGGTCGGCAAGTTCCACAGCTATGAAGCCCTGTTTCGCGTCATTACGACACCCTGCAATCCCTTTGAGCCTTCACAGGCCTTCAAAACCTTCGCACACCTGTACAGAAGCGCCCTCAACATTCCCAAGCTCCCCCCTAAACTCTTTAGCCCCTATAACTCCCCAAACCCCTATAACTCCCTATAACTCCCTAAATCCCTAAACCCCTAAACCCTAAACCCCTAAACCCCTGAACCCCTGAACCCCTAAACCCCTACACCCCTAAACCCCCAAACCCCTAAACCCTACACTCTCCAGGAGGCGGCGCGGCTGCGGGAGCTCCGTAACCACCAGCAGGCTTGGGAAGCTCTTCTTGCCTGTAGTCTCCATGGGAGTTCCTTTTTGGGGATACCTTTTAAAATCCTTAATATATCATTGGTTAAACCAAAAAAAGGAACTACAATGGAGACTATAGGTGGTGCTCGACATGGCTTGACGGGGATGAACTGAGCGGCGTTTAGGGTTTAGGCGTTTAGGGATCAGGGGTTTTGAGGTTTAGGGGTTTAGGAGTTTAGGGATTTGGAGTTTAGGGTTCAGGGGTTTAAGGTTTAGGGGTTTAGGCGTTGGGTGTTAGAGTTTAGGGTTTGGTGGTTGAGGGATTAGGCCTGGACAGGAGTTTATAGCCAAAGCTCAAGGTTTATTAGTTTAATGGTTTAGAGTTTTAGAGGTTTAAATTGTTCACGGGTTATATAGACCTGTTGTTAATGGCGTCTTTGGCTTTCTTCAGAGGATTTTATCTTGGTTGGCCTTTGGGTTATTGAAGTGTCAAACAACCGGCTTTTTACTGACCCTATATAGTCTTTACAGGACAACCTTGTTACAGTTGGAGTTTAGGCGTTTATCAGGCTTTGTTTCGGGGGGCTGACGTTTGCAGGTGCGTCGCTGGGATGCTGCTGAAGCTGAGTTGATAAAGTTCAACATCTGACGTGCTGCCTTTAAGCCTCAGAACCCCGACAGTCGACCCAAACAGTGTCTGTAAGCGTTCTTTAGATCCCGAGCTGGAGCCAGATCCCAAGTGCTAGCTGGAGCAGGACCTTCTTCAACTTCGCCACAGAAACGCCGCGGCCGCTGCAAAGGCGAGCTTCAGGGGGGCCTGTGGGGGAGCTTCAGAAAACATCGGATCCTTAAATAGGACCCCAGATGTGGAGTATTCTCAGCTGTGCCTTTAAAGATGCCGACTCTTGAACTTGATCCCTTTACGACTCCTCAAGTTGACCCTCTATTCTGCTTGAAGCCGGCAGCCAGCAAAGAGGGTGCTATAGTTGGCAGGATAATTGCGAGCACTTTTTCTTTAGGGTCGCTGAACATGTAAGAGATAGTATATTGCACCCAAAATTTTGAAGGCCCCTATGAACCCTACCCCCGCTAGTTCCAAAATGATCACAAGTGGATGCGTCTAGACGGCTTGAACATAAGACTTGACCAAGTTCTTGCAAACCCTATGTAAACCTACAAGTCTTGAGTCCGAAACCCTAGACCTATAAGTCCTACATCCGAAAACCTAAGCTTAAAAGTTCTACATCCGAACCCCTAAACCTAAAAGTCCTACATCCGAAAACCTAAACCTAAAAGTCCTACATCCGAACCCCTAAGCCTATAAGTCCTACATCCGAAAACCTAAATCTAAAAGTCCTGCATCCGAAACCCTAAACCTATAAGTCTTAAAGCCGAAGCCCTAGACCCTAGACCTGTAAACCCTATAATATCCTAACCCTAAACATGTAAACCCTACAATATCCTAACTCCGAAACCCTAAACATGTAAACCGGTAGTTACCGCTATAGGAGCCATATAGAAGGTCTATATACCTTATAGAAGCCTTATAGAAGCCCTATATACCCTAAACTCCCAACCCTAAACCCTAAACCCTAAACTCCCCACCTGTAGTTTCCTTTAACCAAGGGCCGGGATGGGCGGCGTTGTTCAGGTGGCGGCCCCTTCGACCGCGGCTTGCGAGGAGTTGAGTCGTCATCTGGCTGCAGTTTCGATAGGGTTCAGGGTTTAGGGTTTAGGGTTTGCGGGTTTAGGCTTTCGAGCTTTAGGGTTTAGGGTACGCGGGTTTAGGTTTCGAGGTTTCGGGTTTAGAGTTTGCGGGTTTATGCGTTTCGGGTTCAGGCTGTCCGGGTTCTATGGGGGTCTTACAAAGGTGATTTTAGGGTCTAGGCTGGCTATAAAAACTCGGTGCGTGCAGTGTCAGGTTTTTGGATGTTGAGCTTTACCTATAGTCTCCACTGTAGTTCGTTTTGTGGTTAACCAAGTTCATATTCTAGGAACCGAACCATAAAATGGGTAAACCCTAAGCCCTAAAGCCTAAGCCCTAAACGAAGAAAAGGGACTACAATGGAGACCATAGGTACCGTCTTAGATTTCGGCTTCGTGGTTCAAGGGGTTTTACACGGTTTAGGGTTTAGGGGTTTAGGGCTTGGGGGTTTCGGGTTTAGGGTCTAGGGTTTAGGTTTTAGTTGTTAGGGTTTAGGGTTTCGGGGTTTGGGGTTTAGGGTGTAGTTCTTAGAGTTTAAGGCACTAGAGGGCATGCTTATGTTAGTGTGGTTGGTCAGCAGGTTTCTTAGCTAGTTGTGGTGGGATGCGCGATGTTTTCCTAAGGTTGGAAACGAAAGGCTTTATATGTTTTGCCTGATTCGGATCGGTGTCTAGAGGTTGCGGGCTTTAGGATTCGGTTGCGGCATACCCCATGTCTAAGTTGAATCCTCAACGTCACACTAAACCCTGAGCTGGGACGGGCTTGTGTAACCGTGCATATGTTCTTGCCTCTCCTGAGTATTGTTGTGCATCGGGGTTGCTCCCCACGAAATCCACAGGTGCAAACCCAAACACCGTACAGGCGTAGGCACAGTGAATGACAAGTGCATGCAAAAACCTAGCACCCGAAATGTGTTCATCCCAAACCCTCAGAACCTAAAGCTCGAAATCCTATGACCCAGACCCTGTAAACCTCAAACCTTTCACACGCCCTATGAACTATGAACCCTAGACTCCAAAACCCGAAACCCCAAAGCTATACGACCTACAACGCTTAAACCCAAGACCTTATATATATATATATATACATACATACATACATACATACATACATACATACATACATACACATATATATATATATATATATATGTGTATAGATTTAAGCCCTACGTAAATCTAGAAACCCATGGAAGCCGCGCGCCCCAACCCCTTGGGCCAAGTACGTCTCCTCCTGACGGCCTGGGCGGGTGCTGCGAAGACCGCGGCAGCCGGGTCGGCTGAGACGCTCCTGCCAGCTGTGGAGGTTGGTTTAGGGTTGAGGGTTTAGGTTTTATAGGGTTTAGGGTTCAGGGTTGGGGGGGGCTGGGTCCATCTTCTGGCAAACAGGGTTCCCTAAACCCTAAACCTTAATCCCTAATCGCGAAACCCTAAACGCTAATCCCCTCAGCCCGCCGGCCACCACTCTTCTGTTGGGGTAGGCGGGCGCAGTCGAGCGCTCAGCGAGACCAAGCAGGCTCTGCCAGAGCTGCAGAGCCTGCGAGCACATTCCTGAGAGGTCGCCAAGCCGTCGTCGCCGAGCTAGTCACAAATGTATAGTTTATAACCCTAAACCCTGTGATTTTGACATCGCGTCCCTTCACGCTTCACAACTGGACAAGGCTTGGGGTCCCCCCAACCCTTCACGACTTGGGACGGCCTCCAACTGGACAAGGCTTGGGGTCCCCCAACCCCTCACGACTTGGGACGGCCTTCACTGGACAGGGTCCCCAGCGCTTCACGACTTGACTCGACCTCCAACTGGACCAGGATTGGGGTCCCCCAACCCTTCACGACTGGGGACGGCCTTCAAGGACGGTCTTCAAGTGGACAATGATTGGGGTCCCCCAACCCTTCACGACTTGGCACACTGAACAAGAATTGGGGCACCCCAACCTTTCACGACTTGGAACACTGAACAAGGATTGGGGTACCCCAACCTTTCACGACTTGGAACACTGAACAAGGATTGGGGTACCCCAACCTTTCACGACATGGGACGGGCTTCAACTGGACAAGGATTGGGGTCCCCCAACCCCTTCACGACTTGGGACGACCTCCAAGGGCACGGCTTGGGGCCGGCAATCCGATTTGATGCGAGTCCAGGGTGCAGGGAACTTCTTCGAACGTAGCCCACTGCCTCAATAGTTTGCAAGTGAATCACAACCACTCAACAGATCGAAATATCAATGACGGGGCCCTTCGGCCCAGAACGCACCCCAACGCAAACCCTAAATGCTGCTTGGACAGGGCTTGGAGCCCCCCCACTCCGCCACGCCTTCGCTGATAAAAATATCAATGACAGGGCCCTTCGGCCCAGAACGCGGTTTGGCTCGTTGTGAGTTGGGGTGGGCATGTCTGAACACTACTGCGTCCAGCTGACAGTTGCTACACCCGAAACCGTAATCCCTAAACTTTATAGGGTCTACATGGCTCCTAGAAAATTCTAGGGTTCACGATTTAGTTTGGAGCCCCAAGGGTTGAGGGTTGTGGCGTCTTTCTACTGAGTTTATTTCGCGGGATTTGAAGCCGGGTTTGGGATTTGGGTTTAAGATTTAGGGTTATAGGGTTCAAGATTTAGGGTTTAGGGTTTAGGGGTCTAGGGTTTCTGTGGTAGGTGGCACCTGGAAACTAGTGGTGAAGGAAATGAGGTTCAATCACCGGTTGGAGGCCCATTGCAAGTATTGTCTTGAGCAGCCTCGTCCAGGTGCAGTAGTAGAAATACTGCCAATAACAATAGTCATAGTCAGAATAATCCTGATACCAATAGTTATAGTCCCTCCCTCAACCGTAAACCCGGGCAGCGGTTAACCCTACACCCCGAACTGTAAACCCATAAACACTTAGTCCTCTAGACCCTAAACCCCATAAACCCCAAAACTCTACACCCTAATCCCTTTACTATAAGCCCGAAACCTCCCTACCTCCCGGGCAGCAACTCTCGGACTCGCCCGATCCAGCCTTCGACTTCAGGAGCCGGGCCGTGGGGGCCCTCCTCTCGAAGATGCTTCGTCAAAGGAGGGCTGAGTGGGTCTAGGGTTTAGGGTTTAGGGTGCACGGGTTTAAAGTCCAGTTTTATTGTTTTTTATAGACATGGGGCTGAGGGTCTGGGGGATTAGGATCCAAGGCAGCAGAAGTTTCTTGGCATTTGCCGGTTTCTCACAATTTGATCCATGGCAGCAGTCAGCTGAACTTGGGATGAACTTCAGGTGCTAGACTTGTTTGATTTTGCTCCATGTTTCCGAGTGAATGCAAGAGTATGCAATCTTGACAAACCTTAAGGTAAAACCCCGAACCCTAAAGCCCTAAACCCGTTGAGGCATTTCAATCCAGTCTGGGCTTGGGCTCGCGATTGGAGATTGCCGATACGCAAAGATACCAGTCGTCGCAGAAGACACTGCAAGCTCCGAAACCCTAGGGTTTAGGGTTTAGGGAAAGTTCCAAAACCTCCATGCGACGCCCTGAGAACCGAATCCCTGCTACCTTGAATGCTGAAGCCGTAAGCCCGTCTCTTAATCTTCTTGAATCCTTGAACCCTTTTGATAGAAGCTTGTAAAATTTGGAGCAAGATTACCTAGACCCGAAACCCTAAACCCTTTACAGATTAGAACATCTACAGGAGCTCGAAGCCATTCTGCAGGGCTCGCAGCCGGGCTCGGGCCGCCTGTTCGCATACCTGCAGTGGGGGGGAGGAGGAGGGAGCAGGCGACTGCTGAATTTCGAGTTTCGGGTTGAGGTTGTGGGGTTTGGAGTTTAGATCTTGAAACATCCAAAAACAGCCCGGTTACCGGTTCCTTTGAGGGCCTTATAGGGCCTTAATATGAGGATGGTTTGGCGAAGTTGCCCTTGTCTTGTGGCCCTAGGAGCGAACCCTAAACCCAAAGCCCTACCCTAGCTCAGTCTTTGAGTTGTAGGGTTTAGGGTTTAGGGTTTAGGGTTTAGGGTTTAGGGTTTAGGGTTTAGGGTTTAGGGTTTAGGGTTTAGGGTGGTGGTTAGGGTTTGGGGTTTAGGATTTANNGCGACCCCCCCCCCCCCCAAGACCGACACCCTAAACCCGTGAAGCATATGTAAGCCCCCAAGGCTTACAGCCCTAGGTCCTAGGTCATACACAGCAACTCTCAAGCCGAAGCCTTCGCACATTGAGCACAGACCCCTAAGATAGAAGCCGTTTGATAATTAATAATTGCCAGTATTAGTCCTTTTAGTTCCATGTTAGGTATTTATACTATAAAGTACTCCCAAAAAACCGTAGTCTAATTTGTGAGACCCCTATATTACATGAGTCTGTTCCACTGACCTGAGGCGTTTCCCAGCCCCATGATTCGCTGCAGCAGGAGTGCGAGGTGCCCGCTGGAATAGTAGGCCGCTATTCCCCATGGCTCTTTCGTAATGTCTGTGTTTCTCATGTACTGTCTTTTGTTATAGTGCAATCACGCGGCATACTGTAGTTTGAGATATTCCTTTCCCGTTGTTCCTTGAACCCTGAGCCCAGAGTCCCATGGCTTCCGGCCTACAGTTGGCGGCTCTAGGGTCTCTGGGGCGGGTCTGGCTTCAGCGCGATGATGTTTGGAGTTTGGAGCCCACTTTCCACCTGGAAGCCATCATGCATCAACCCTACCTGTAGTCTCCATTGTAGTTCCTGGTTTTGGTCTAGCCAGTCTTATATTTAGGATCCTATAGTCCTATAAGGGTAACCCTAAACCCGAAACCCTGCACCCTACACCCCAAAAAAGGGAACTAGAATGGAGACCATAGGTGAGCCCTGAAAGCTCCTATAAAGGGATCCTGTAAGGGTTCCTGTAAGGGTTCCTGTAAGGGTTCCTGTAAGGGGTCCTACAAGAGGGATTCCTTATAGGGCCGTTTAAACCCTAAACCCTAAACCCTAAACCCTAAAAGTTTAAGGCTTCGGGCCTTTAGGGCCGTTTACGGTTTTCGGGCCTTTGGGGTTTGGGGCCTTTAGAGGCCCTTAGTGGGCCTTCAGGGTTCGGGCCCTTTGTGGCTTAGCGTTTGGGGTTTACGGTTTGCGGCTTAGGGTTTGGGGCTTGGGATTTAGGGTCTTGGGTTTCGGGTTTAGGATTTGGGGTTTAGGGTCTGGGGTTTCGGGTTTAGGATTCGGGTTTAGGGTCTAGGGTTTCGGGTTTAGGATTTATAACTTCGGGTTTGGGGTTTAGGGTTGCTAGGGTTGCTAGGCTGCTAGGGTCCTCCTGCATCCCCCAGGAGCTAGGACATTTTCAGGTGGGTAGTTACCGTTATAGGAGCCTTATAGAAGGTCTATATACCTTATGGAAGCCTTATAGAAGTCCTATATACCCTAAACTCCCCACCTGTTGTTTCCTTTAACCAGGAGCTGAGGCGTGCGCTGCAAGAGCAGCAAAGCAACTTTGCCCGCTCCTGGCGTCGCATGCAGGAAGAGCAGGAGGCGACCTCGGGGGTGGGTTTTGGGTTTGAGGTTTAGGGTTTAGGGTTTAGGGTTTAGGTTTTAGGATTTAGGGTTTAGGGTTTAGGGTTTAGTCGGTTTAGGGGTTTAGGGTTTAGGGTTTAGTGGGTCTAGAAGTGTTTGTGTAGGGTTCCCCGAAAAGGGGTCTAGAAGAGTGTATGTAGGGTTGCTTTACAGGGCTCTAGAAGGGTTTATGAGGTTTTTGTAGGTGTTGTTTTCTGTGGCTCAGGGTGCAGGCATTAGGGTTTAGGGGATAGGCATTTGGGGTTTGGCCAAGGTTTTAGCTTTAAGGCTTTCTTTAGGGTAGATAGTGTAGTAGGGTTTAGGGGAAGGCTGCTTGGTGTTCGTTCGAGGTGTATACTAAGGTTTAGGGAGTTGTCTGCCTTTTTGTTTTTTTTGTGTGTAGTAGGTTTTGTTCAGCTTTGCTGTTTTAACTTTAAGGGGCGCTTTGATAGTTAGGCTGTACAGTTGGGTGCAGCGTCGTATTTGTGCTTTACTGATTCGTAGGGTTTTACAAACACTAATCCCAAACTCTACACCCAAAACAAGAATTTCGAACCTTAAGCGCTAGAGCCTGAATCCTTAAACCCTATGCTAGCAAAGCTGCAGCGTTTCGTGTCAGACCTTCGCCACCATAACTTGGGATACTGTAACTTGACAGCCGCCTTTTGATGAGGATGAGAAGGTGTTAGGGTTTACCTGGACCCTGAAGAACCTACCTTTCTAGGGTTCCTTACTATGATTTCTTTCTATAAGTCTTGAAACAGGTAGGTTATTTGGGGTTACGGTAGGGTTTGGAGTCTAGGTTCATAGGCTAATATAGGGGCCTCAAGACTTACCGCCATTATTTTGGAGGCTCTCTGTTGCAATTGTACTATAAAGGACCCCCAAAGCCCAATTCTAATCATTAAGGCCCCTACATTAGCTGGTTCAGGTGTCAATGTTTAGACAGAAGTTCTATGTTTGATCTTAGGGGACGCCCCAACGGCCCAGCCTTTAAACCCGAAGCCGTAAACACACACACACCCTAACCCAAACCCCTAACCCATAAACCCTAAACCTAACCCCTAAACCCTAAACCCTAAACCCCTAAACCCCTAAACCCCTAACCCAAACCCCGGATTAAAACCTAAACCCCTAAACCCCTAACCCAAACCCCGGATTAAAACCTAAACCCCTAGACCCCTAACCCAAACTCCTAAACCCCTAACCCAAATCTCTAAACCTCTAACCCAAACCCCGGATTAAAACCTAAACCCCTAAACCCCGGATTAAAACCTAAACCCCTAAACCCCTAAACCCCCCAAACCCCTAACCCACTCCCCGGTTTCACACCCAAACCGTGATGTCCTGCAGGAGCTTCAACGGCAGCGGTTCCTCCTTGTCGACGAGCTCGCACGCTGCCGAGAGTCGGCGGCCCGAGACCAGGAGGCGGGTGGGTCCCTGTCCCTAAGGGTCCATGTACCCAAATAGTAGATACTTTGGCCTTAAAGTAGCCCCTATTTGGATACTCTGGGGCCAAAGTATCTACTATTTGAGTACATGGACCCTTAGGGTGTGAGTGTCCGTCTAGGGCTTCGGGTTTGTAGGGTTTAGGGGCTTCGGGGTTTAGGGTTTTGGGTTTTGGGTTTAGGGCTTCGGGTTTGTAGGGGTTTTGAGTTTAGGGTTTATAGCCCTAAACCCTACACCCTAAACTATAAGGGTTTTTAGGGCCTATAAGTATTTAGGCCTTATAGGATTTGCAAGGGTTTAACCGTTAAGGGCTTTGGGATTAGTGCTTTGCAGGGTCATGGGGCTTTGAGGGTAGCTGTAAGGGTTGCTACAAGGGTACTGAGAGGGTACTCTGGATGCAGTGGGGGTTTAGAGGGTTTAGGGCTTATCAGGATGTAGGGTTATAGTGCTTTTGGGTTTGAGTCGGCGTGCCCAGCTTAATGTCGACTGGTCTGCAGTGCCCTGTCTGCTCGTTTCCAACTTCGATATGCAAAGGTATCGGGCACCATAGAAGCACATAAGCAAAGATTCGTGTCCCATAGAAACCCTCTTGCAATGAAACCCAATAAGGTCGGGGTATCCCTACAAAATGCTCGTGCTTATGTTCTCTTTTTTTTGGTACCTAAAGTAGAGTCACGCTTTAGGTCTTCTGGTGCATTCGGGCCGTGGGTTGTGAGTCTTGGTCATGTCTACATGGAACTGATGCAAGAGCAGGGATTCCTCACCCAAAATCGCGTTAGAGGAAGACTCGGAAGACTGAGCAAGAGCTTATCCGAGCTCTCTTTAGCGTTTAGGGGTTTAGGGTTCACTCAATCGTGCAGGTCCCCAGCCCCGAATCCTCACCTGCCCCTTAATACCCAAGCCCTAAACTCTAAACGCCCAAAGAACTCTAAGCCCCTGTCTTCCTAACGCTGAACCGTCAAACCATGCTTGGAGGACCATGGGACTTAGTAAGTAAGGTTATAAGCCCCCTAATTGGGGTTATAAGTATAGTTACCTTAGAACCCTACTTACTAAGTCCCATGATCCTTTAAGTAGACCCCGAAACCTCAACCTGAAGCCCTAAACCGCCAAACGTCAACACCCACAAATCCAAAAAGCCTTCAATCTCCAGAACCCCCCCCCAAAGTAGGTAGTATTATTAGGGG